ACAACTTCGGCGCTGGACGCAGCGGACATATGCACATAAGGTGAATCTTTGGTGTTGCTCGCATAGCTCAGCAGTTGCTTGCCACACTCGTAGGCGCAGAAGAATAGAGCGGCAGTAGGTGCGCTGCCAGCAGCCGCTGGGGCCAATCCTTTGTAAATGCCGCGGAAGCCACCGGAGCGCCAGAAGCCCAACTCGCTTTGTAGGCGCGTCTTAACTGTATCAATGGGAAACAGTGCTATGTCCACCACAAAACCCGCCACGCCGCCAGCCTAAAGAAGTGTATGCCACCATACGTACATAAAAAATTGCATTTTAATTGCACATTTRAAAACTTACAACGAGCGCGTGTAAAAATGTTATCTTTGAGACCGGCTCCTGCATATCGATTTGCGCCGGAAGTGCGGCGGGCGCTAATTCCGCAGCCATTTGCCACTATAATGTCTATTAATTGTTTATTCTACGACCACATGCTGCAGCCAAATTGTTTTAATTCAAAAACAAACTCTAAATGCGTGTSGTTGTTAACGTAACAGCAATTTAATGAAATAATATGGGTGCACACCGAAGACTTTATACGCTTCAAAATACATAGTGACTGAATTTATAAATGTCACGATAGAAAATGTAGAATGAATGTTTGTTTTAGCTAAAAAGTAGACTTTTATATTTTCGAGCTATATATTAAAAATAAATTATTTAAATTTTACAAATTTACATAAGAAGCGAATGTAAGAGTTGCAAAGTTTGCAATGCAAACCTAATGAGAGGAATACTATTCCCTAATGTTTTAAGGAGATTTATGACGTCACGGCTGTATGCCAGTGCTGCCAATCGATAGCTTAATTGTTTACACATCGATATTTTTTAATTTGTGTTTAATCGAAAATAATATCGCTTGATAAACATATGATTTTGCGTTTTGGCCGTGGCTACAGAAATCAAATAAGAAAAGGGTTGATCAGCTTTGTAAGGGGCACTTGGAAAATATTATAACGAAACATGGCTATTCGATTAACTCAGAAACTGCTGCAAGCCCAGGTGCCCTTCCTAACACGAGTAAGTTAGAAAGCAAATTACAGATACATAGTTGGCCAACTGAGCGGTTGGCAATTGCAAATTACATAATGCGTTGGGACTAGAGAATGGATAAAAAGTCAAAGATAAATTTCATTTAATATGTCATTTACAGGGATATCCCCTGCTGGTGACCAAGGAAAAAACTGAAGACGTGGCACACACCAAATCGGCTTTGCAAAAGAAAGTAACGGTACGTTTTTGAGGTTATACAAATAGTGTATATGTATTAGTAAACGCATCTGATACTGCTTCTCCAATAGGACACGGATATACCCTCGGCGCAATATGGTGGCCGTCATGGGGTCACTATGCTGCCCGGCGGTGGCATCGGACCCGAATTGATGGGCTATGTTCGTGAGATCTTCAGATATTGTGGTGCTCCCATTGATTTTGAGGTAATCGACATTGATCCCTCCACCGAGGGCAATGATGATCTRGACTATGCWATTACCTCYATYAAGCGTAATGGCGTGGCACTCAAGGGTAATATTGAGACAAAATCGCAAAGTTTAAGCGAAGTCTCCCGCAAYGTGGCYATCCGCAATGAGCTTGATCTCTACGTGAATGTGGTGCACTGCAAGTCATATCCAGGCATTCCTGCGCGCCACAAGGACGTCGATGTTGTGCTCATCCGCCAGAACACGGATGGTGAGTATGCCATGTTGGAGCATGAGTCTGTGCGCGGCGTTGTGGAGAGCATGAAGGTGGTTACTGTRGACAATGCCGAGCGTGTGGCACGCTATGCCTTCGAATATGCGCGTCAGAACAATCGCAAACGCGTGACAACCATCCACAAGGCAAACATCATGAAGCTGTCGGACGGTCTGTTCCTGGAAGTAGCCAATCGTGTGCACAAGGACTATCCCGAGCTGGAGCATAACAACATGATTATTGACAACACTTGCATGCAGGCTGTCTCGAACCCCCACCAGTTCGATGTCATGAATATGACTAACTTGTATGGCACAATTGTGTCGAACGTGATTTGTGGACTGATTGGCGGCGCTGGTCTAATCTCTGGACGCAACTATGGCGATCACGTGAGCTACATATATACGGTAGTATAGTTATGAATTTTGATTGAAATTTGATTTCCTTTTAGTATGCCGTCTTTGAGCCTGGCACCCGTAACACAGGCACTGCCATTGCCGGCAAGAATATAGCCAATCCCGTGGCCATGATCAATGCCAGCATTGATATGTTGAATCATTTGGGCCACAAGGAGCATGCGCAGGTTATCTATGACGCTACCTACCAGACAATTGTTAACGATGCTATTCGCACGCCAGGTTTGTTGAGCATGTGTGAACATGAGTTCCGCTTTACGCACAGACGTCGATTTTCATATTTAACACATATATATTTAACTTGTTTCCTTGTAGATCTCGGCGGAACTCACAGCAGCACCGATGTGGTTGAGAACATTCTCAAGATCTTGAGTGCCAAGCGTGTGAATTGGTAAAATAATTGACTTGCATTAAATATTTAAGCATATTTGTTTTTGAAAGTGCGAGTGATGCTCGTTTCCGTTGGCGTTCTTTTATTGCTGTATTTAGTTTTATAGCGAGTATACATAACATATCTGTGTACCATCTTTTCGCTTGTCCTCTTTACTTCACTGTTACACAGTCTGTCGATATTTTATTTGGTATTATATAAGTATTTTGTGCTCTTTTGTATTATTTTTCCCACTTCAACTTGAACAGAACTGTAAGTGTTATAAATAAGTTTGTAACCCGTTC